CTTTTTTTCAGGGCAGAGGCCATCACCTAAAGATGCTGACTCTCCTGCTGCTTCTCCTGGGACGAGGTATGAGCCTTGTCCCATGGGGAATCTGGGGTCAATGTTAATGCTGAGTAGAGGTATGAGGAGAGTTTCTCTCCAGAGGGCCTGAAGCCACCAGTCAGGAGATGAAAGGGAGATGTTAGATAAGAGGATCCTGACAGAATAATAGTTGGCAAAACAAAAAGGAGGCACTGCTAAGGGGTCCTTTGGGAGCTGAGGTGATGTTGGAGTAAATAAAGCAGAGACCTTTCTGCATGGAGACGTGTCTAGCCCTGAGTTTTTCAGCCCTCACGTGTCTCTCTGTCTCTGGAACTAGGCTCTGTGTTTGGTGCTCTCCTCTTCCAAAAGCCGAGCAGGGACATCTGTCAACGTGGGACCTCCATGATGATCCGGTGTCAGGTGGATAGCCAAGTCAGCTCAATGTTCTGGTACCGTCAGCTCCTGGGACAGAGCTTGGAACTGATTGCAACTGCAAATCAGGGCTCTGAGGCCACATATGAGAGCGGATTTACCAAGGACAAGTTTCCCATCAGCCGCCCAAACTTAACATTCTCAACTCTGACTGTGAGCAACCTGAGCCCTGAAGACAGCAGCTTATACCTCTGCAGCGCTGGAGACACAGCACTAGGCACAAATCAAAGACCTGAGCAAGAACCTCAGCTTCCTCCTACCCAGCTCCCACTCAGATGAGCCTGAGAACCCTGCCAAGGTGGGACAGAGAGAGGAAACCACAGCTCTTAGGCAGAGACAGCTGCTTGTGTGTTTGTGGGTGGGCATGGGTGTCAACGGGTAGGTGGGAGATGAGGAAAGAATCTGTAGGACTAGATGGAAGGTTCCATCCACAGACAGAAAGAGTGCTCCTGGGAGGCTGAGGGTAAAGTTTCTTTCAGAAGGATACTTACAAATACTCAGTAAAGACAGTCAGATACAATTTGCCTTCAAGTGGCAAGGTCGGAAATATCCTTTAACTGTTTTATCTCTAGGCTATATTTAGCCTGTTTTCTAGCATTTTATCTCAAGGCTATATGATCTGTTCTCTAGGTCCTAAACATTAGAAGGACCCTAGTCATCTTGATACCATGCTGGTCCATTAAATTGATGACAGGCTGATTATTCTTAATGAAGAGGAATTATAAAACACTCTAGATGCCTCAATACAATACATGCATGACAGACCAATGTAAAATCTGAAAAAGTTTAGGGACCGAACATGTTGGTGAGCTTTAAAATGGTCCAGAGGTCTGGGGCATTTTGGAATATCTCCCCCAAAGTGAGAAATAAGCTGCTGCACCTTACATCATCCATTCGGAGGAAGAGGTGCTGTGCTTAGTGGGATGCAATGCTTCGTCGTCTTTGGACTTTGAATTGGGCTTTGGATATACTGCATTTATTGTGCCACCCTGCTCCATTTACTGTGTGATCTGTGAGTCTGGGTCCAGAGCAAGAGAGGGTTCTGTAGCAGAACAAGCCTGTGCTGAAAGCTTCCTGCTGCTTGGGCCATAAACCAAGCACATCCAGTTGTTCTTAAAGAGCCAATGACAGATAGGGACGCTCTATGGAGCTTTTGGCATCCTCAGTATGAGAACCACAAGGCAGTGCGAAGCAAGTCACTGTGCCCTGGTAACTACTTCAGCCCATTGAATCTTGGGCTGTACTTTTCTTACTTTCCCAAATCTGGTGAGACAGAACACTCACACACACACGTTACAGTAAATAGGTTTATTACTTACAGGTAGGAATCAGGGTACAACAGAGGCCTAGGATTCAGGATGAGCCAGTCCCCTGGGGCTCAGAAAAGCTGCCCAGGGTAGATGAACTCTTGTTTGTGCATGACCCACTTGCCCCACAGCTGAGGCACCCCAGAAAGCAGCTTACCCTGGGTTTTATACCTCAGGGGTGTCATGACATGCTGGGTCAAAGCGTTGGAGGTCATCCTTTTTCTACAAGGGACAGGAACATAGACCTGGCTGTTCTAGCCAGTTCCTCCTGGTCTCAGGATGTTGCATTCCCAGCACATTCTACAGTTATTTTTGAAAACTATGAGTGACAAAGGGAGGAGAACTGGGTTGTTCCAAGGCCACCAGGAGAATTGTCCTGGAGAATGTCCCACAGGCAGATGCAGAGTTTTGATGTGAAGCCATACTCTCTTTTACCTGCCAACAACTATTCTTCCTTTCAAAAGCCACTCCTGGCTCTTTACTGAATGCCTCATCATGGCATTCAGAACTGGATGTAATCTAATTTGCAAAACTGTAAAGTTGGACATACACAGAACATCCCATTATTAAATGGAAAATGTGTAATCAACATCAGACTCAAACATAGCTGGAAGAGAGCACAATTCTACTTCAAGAGGATGTCTCAGAGTCTCTTGGCACCCAGTCCTGCTTTTTCCCCCCTAACCCTTGATACACACCCAGGGTTTCATGGGAATTCTCTACTTCCATTTGAAAAACATGGGCCTGTTTTATGGATGGGTCTATACTTTATTCTGGAGTGATCATTACAGTCTAGTGCAAGCACGGTTCTGAAAGATAGTAGCACAGGGAAATCCTCGCACGGCCAGAACTTCAATCTGAAGATCTGGTTGTCTGCACTTTATAAAAGGAAAGATGGCCTGAAGTATAGATCTAGCCTATGTTCAACTTTCTTTCACATTATCTTCTAGTCTTTTTACCTGTTCAGTCATATTTTTCCTCTTTTTGCTTCTCTGTGCTGCACTCGGTAATTTCTTTAAAGTTACTTTTCAATTTACTGATTCAGACCTCAACTCCAATAAACCTCCAATTTAACCTTTCAACTGACTTGCTTATTTAAATTATATTAATTTTTATTTCTAGGAAATCTACTTGGATCTTTTACGAATATGATTGGATGTTTTTGAAAGCATCTTGCTTCTTGTTTATCTTTAAATTATTTTACTTCTTTGAAGATATTAAACTTCTGTTTGGAATTTTTACCTAATAATGACATCTGGTTTCCTTGTCAGTAGTCTGCTGATTTTCATTCAAGGTTGGCTTCTTTCCTTGTGTGTTACATAATTTGATATTGTGAATTTATCTTTGGGAATTCTTTAAATCCTGGACTTTACAGTAAAAACCAATAGCAAGGTAAATATCCATATACTAGATGACAGGGTTATTTAATTCAAAAAAACAGTTGGTTGTATATTGATTTATTTCTGCTACAGACTTAGAAGGGAATAGAAAAAGCCCTCCTAACCCCGCCTTCACACAGCTGGCTCCTTCTTATTCAGGTCTTAACTCAAATACCGTCTCTCCAGAGAGACCCTTTGACCACCCTGCCTACCACTGCACTTGAGCAGTCACTCATAACATAGTATCACTTTACCCTGTTCTAATAACACCTAATCACCATTGGCTGACTGCCTCTCATCTCCATATCTCCTCACAAGTGCGTGAACCCACACACATGCACACATAAATGCCATGAAAGCAAGGACCTTTCCTATCTTCTTCAATGCTCTTTCTTTACAGCCTAGAAAAACCAGAACTTCACAGGATATTAGTAAATACTTATTGGGTGTATTAGTCTGTTTCCATTGTTTATAACAAAGTACCTGAAACTGGTTGATTTATAAAGAAAAATGACATTTATTGCTAACAGTTTCTGAGGCTGGGAGGTCCAAAGTCATCTGGTGGAGGTGACAGAGACCCAGGGGTCTCACATTGCAAGATGGTGGAACCAGAGAGAGCAGAGAGAGAGAAAGACAGACCCTTCTATTCTTCTAAAGCTCTCAGTGGTTACGCCCTTGACCACCATTTTTAATCCATTCACTACTGCATGGTCCTACAATCCAACCACCTCTTCAAGGCTCTACCTTTCAATTATCATAATAGGATTTCCCATCCTCTTAACAGTCACAGTGGGGGCTAAGTTTCTAACGCATAAAACTTAGGGGACACAATTCAAGCTTCAGTGAGTTTTGGGGGGACATAATTCAATCCACTACATTCCACCCCTGACCACCCAAAGCTCATGTCTTTTTTACATGTAAGTACATTCATTTTATCCCCAAAGTCTTAACTTGTTTCAACTCAAAAGTCCAAAGTTCAAAGTCTCATCTGCGAAGTCAATATAAGTTATCTACTTCCAAGATAAGAACGGTGGGACAAACATAGAGTACATATTACCATTCTGAAAGGGAGAAATACACCAAAAGAAAGGGGTAACAGGTCCCAAACAAGTCTGAAATCCAGCAGGTCAGGCATTAAATCTCAAAGCTGATTAATCATGTACCTTGGCTCCGTGTTTGGTGTCCTCTGCACACTGGCGTGGAGGTTGGGTCCCCAAGTCCTTGGGCACCTCTGCTCCTATGGCTTTTCTAGTCTCAGGCCACACTTCAGCAATCCCAAGCTGGTGTTCCACTCTGGTAGCTCCACAAGTCAGGTCTCCATGACTGTCCCGCTGTCATGGCTCCACTAGACATGGCACTGGTGGGGTTTCTCTACTGCAACTCTGACACCACATTTCTGCTCAGCATTGCTCTAGTGAAGGCTGTCTGGAGTGACTCCACCCCTGTGACAGATCTCCTCTTGGGCCTCCAGACATTTCCATACATCCTTTGAAATCTCAGTGGAGGCTCCCAAGCCTTTCCAGGTCTGGCATTCTGCAAGCCTGAAGACCTAATACTACATGGATGCCGCCAAGGCTTCCAGCTTGTATTTTCCAAAGATGCATGTCCAGCCACACCTGGGACCATTTTAGCCACAGCTGGAGCAGCCAAAGCAGCTGGGGTGCTGGTGCTGGAAGCAGCTTCCTGAGATGGCCTTGGGCAGTGAGCCCCTGGAGGGCTCCTCAAGCCTGTTTCCCAAGACCATTCTATTTCCCTAGGTCTTTGGGCCTAAAATGGAACAGTTGGTCCCAGAGGCTTCTGCAATGCCTTCAGGGCCTTTTTTTCCTTCTCTTGATAATCCCTTTTCTTTGTACTAATTTTGTTAGCTAATGGTCGCTGGGATGCACCATTTCATGCTCTCTGCTTCTCTACCACATGGCCAGGCTGCAAATTTTTCAGATCTTTACACTCTGCTTCCCTTTTAAATTCTGGCTTTATGTCAGGCATTTGCTGCCATAACTCAGTGTAGGCTGTTACAAGCAGCCATGCAGCTTCCTTAATGCTTTGATGCTTAGAAATTTCTTCCGCCAAATACTCTGGTTCACAACTCCTAAGTTCCAACTTCCATAAAATCCTAGGACATGGACAGAATGCAGCCAAGTTCCTTTCCAGTTCACAGCAAGGGTGATCTTTGCCCAAGTGTTCAAAAACCTCCTTCTTATTCCTATCTGAGACCTCCTTAGAATGGTCTTCACAGTTCACATGTCTATCAGCATTCTGGTCACCACCATTTAACCAGTCTCTAAAACTTTCTCTGGTTTTCTTGTCTTCTAAACTTTCACTAGCATTTAGGCTTTTTCTAGACTGTTCCTCCAAATTCTTCCACCCTCTCCTCAACACCCAGTTCCAAAGCTGCTCCACATTTCCCAGTATCTGTTATAAACAACACCCCACTTCTCTGGTACCAATTTTCTGTATTAGTCTGTTTCCATTGCTTATAGCACAATGTCTGAAACTGGTTGATTTATAAAGAAAAACGACATTTATTGCTTACGGTTTCTGAGGCTGGGAGGTCCAAAGTCCGTCTGGTGGAGGCGACAGTGACCCAGGGGTCTTACATTGCAAGATGTTGTAAGTAGAGAGAGCAGAGAGAGAGAAAGACAGACTATCCTCTTCTTTTAAAGCCCTCAGAACCACGCTCCTGACCACCATTTTAAATCCATTCACTACTGCGTGGTCCTACAATTCAATCACTTCTCCAAGGATCTACCCTTCAATTGCCATAATAGGATTTCCCACCCTCCTAACAGTCACAGTGGGGGTTAAGTTTCTAATACATACAACTTAGGGGACACAATTAAAGTTTCAGTGAGTTTTGGGGGGACATAATTCAATCCACTACATTGGGTAAATAAATATAATTTAGAAGAGGAAAATTTAAGCAGTAGCAGACTTCCCTGGAGAGAAACTCTACAAAGGCATTTGAATTTAGACAAGTTAAGCCTGTAAAGAAATTAACTAGATTGTTCTAACAGGGAGGAAATAAACACTTCAAGCTTTATATTTGAATAAAGCTTTATATTTAAACAGTAAAACACACAGCGTTGTGTGCCAACTTCCCTCTGCTTTCTTCCCCAAGACTGGGAAACAGAACACATGTTCAGGGTTCTAGAGAGGCTAAGCCCAAAACCTGCTCAAACACAGTGGCCTGAGGTGGGAGCCCCTCAAATTGGAATTATGCTGGTGCCTGTGTGGACTGAGCACTCAGTTCTTGGGCATCATTTGAAGACCCTCCTGGTCAAGTTGACCTAGTGGAAATGGACTGCCCAGTTGGCTGCCTCCCAAATGCATGATACAGGCTAGACTTTTCATAAGCAGATGAGGGGAGGGATCTCCACTGACCGATTGGACTTATCCCTGAACTTGGCTTGTCGGGCTCAATCTGGATCTTTGAAAGGAGAAAAGCTTCTGGTAACCTCTCTGCATGTCTTAGCCAAGCGATCCTGCAGAAATCACTTAACCTCTGAGCTTTAGAAGGTTCATCTGTAAAAAGAAGAAAACAGTATCTGTTGCCTACCACCTTGGTGAGGCTGCACCATGGATCAGCTATGAGCAAGGGAAGCAGAATGTTCTGTGCTGGAGCATGCAGGCTCTGGAGTCAGGCTACCATGCTTGGATTCCATTTTTACACTTTACTGGCTCCAGGACCTTGAGCAAGTTACTTCACCTCCATAAAGCCCATTTCATCGTCTGTAAAACAGAAAACACCAGAAGTGGTAGTGATGATAAAGTTTCAAAAAGGTCCACAAAAGACTTACACAGTGTTTGGTGTATAGTAAGCACACAGAAGCTATTCACGGTTTGACATACTCAGCACTGAACAGAGCCAGGGAAATGTCTTACAGAAGTGGACAAAGAAATCCATAGTCCAGAATGAACAGTACCAAGAACTGCAGACCACCAGAAGGAATTTGGGCGCTAGATCAGAGCCTGCCCTCCATATCTGAGTCTCGAGCATGAGGTTATACGAAGAGTCTCCACCTGCAGCTATCTTCTCTGCCTGTAAGGTGATTCCTGTTACTTTGAAGAAAGCTGACCTCAGACTATGTTGTGGACCTGATAGTTTAAGGAGGAGTGTTAAACATCAGGAGAAGTCTAGGGTTCCAGCTTTAGATACAAAAAATCCTCGTGCTCTTGGGTGTTTTCTTTTTGACAAAGAATAGGAGTCACAAGCACTGAGCCAAAAAACCCTCTGCCTAAAACAACTTCCCATCTTCTAAGTATCACCTCCCTGTGGGGCACCTATCCAGTGCCCGCTGGTAGTTTCAGGTGCTAGAGTTTCTCCTTATCCTCTAAAGCAAGGAGTTCTATGAAGACCCCACAAGGGACAAAACAGCATGGTTAGTGACATCACAGGAAAAGCCCCCATTATCAGTGCTCCACAACCTGGCTACCTCAGACTCAGCCAGTCATCTGTGAGCAGAGAGGTGTGCATCCATGCACTAGACATGGCCTAGATGGGTCTGGGGCCATCGCAAGGTAAGGCTCTGAGACAAGGTGCCAGGTGAAAGATTAATTCAGTCTCCTATTTCTGCCAGGAAGATAAGAGACAGAAAGGATCCGATGTACAGGTGGACCTCTGGGGACCTCTGGCTTGATCCTCAATCAACCTTGTAGATGCCACCTGTGGCAATTCCCACACCTCACAAGACTTTCCATGTTTTCCTGTATCCTTGAGGCCAGCTTTGCCCCTTTTAAACTTGTGTTCTTGGGCAGGATGGAATTCTTCTGAGTCTTAGTCTCTTCCCCTGTAAATAGAAATAATTTTGTTCTGCACACCTCACAATTAAAATGTTTGAAAAGTTAAACTGTGAAACAGTCCAAATGAAAAGCAGAGTATTGCTGTTGCCTGTATGAAAGCTCTTGGAGAGCTGTCAGGCCCTGTGCACATACAGCATATTCCCACTTAGTATGTGCCTATTGGGGATCGGAGGGTGCAGAGTGGACAGGGGAGAGCTCTGGCCATGGGTCTCCTGGTGTACCAAATGAAAAGCAGAGTATTGCTGTTGCCTGTATGAAAGCTCTTGGAGAGCTGTCAGGCCCCGTGCACATACAGCATATTCCCACTTAGTATGTGCCTATTGGGGATCGGAGGGTGCAGAGTGGACAGGGGAGACCTCTGGCCATGGGTCTCCTGGTGTGGAGAAGCTGGCTTGGCAGCCAGGCCAGGAACTGGACCAGAAGTTCCTCTACATGGCCCTCTCATGGCCCTCCCAACCCCATGAGCCCCACTTTGGCATTTCCCCCAATTCATTCTAGTTTCCATTTATTCCCTCCCTCCAACCCCTTGCCGTCTCCAATTCCACCACCAGATTTTGAGCTAAGCTTTTCTCACTTTGCTTAGGATCTCCAGAACATTCACTCCTTTTCTACCTTTTGGAGAATTCAAACACAAACTGTCCACTCCTGCCCCCCACCCCCGCCAACCCTGAACTCAGAGGAGCTGAGAAAGAGAAGCATCCTTTTCAGTCCTTCTCAGCTGAAGGCTTCTCCAGGTGGCTCATGTAATTAGACCCCAGCACAGACACCCTCTTCACCTTTACACCCTCTGGCCAGGTTGTGCCTTAATAAATTAAATGGCTGTGGCTTGGTGGCCATGGCAGGTCCCAAATTGGAATCTTCTTTGGGAAGATTCACTTTGTACTGACCCCAGCATAACAGCCTCACTGCATCTGAAATAGGAAATTCCAGAATTGGCCCCCGTGTCTTTATTATTGAATTCACTACTCAGACCCTTTACCATGTGCTAATCTTTCTACCTACTGATTCTCTCATCAGAACCCAAATTTATGATCTTCCAAACACTTTCTAGTGTCTTATCTGGGGCATAAAATTCTAGCTCAGGCTGTCCACTCCTAGCAGGTGAGGGCAGTTTCTATCTCCTTTAGTGTAGATTGCCAGGGTTGAACAACAATGCTGCTTAAAGAGAGCCCATGACAGTGTGAGCGATGAGAGACAGATATCCTGCCATCAAAGAGGAGGAGGAATGTGCTGCTAGACGCTGTCCCCTGGTGTACTGGAAAAGCTCCTACCTAGCTCTCACCTCTCCTCCTTTGAAACGCTTTCTATCCATAAGCCTCAGTAGGAAGGAGAGCCAACTGAAAGCTCAGTCTCCTAACAAACTCTGAGTCTCCCCTCTCATTACCTCGTGATGTCGCAATCCTGGTTCCCCAAAGCCTTGGATCTGACCTCCCTGCCCAGTGGTTTAGACTGAAGGTCTTCACGCTCTAGGTATAAGCCTTAGATAAGACTTCTTTGCTCTCACAGGAACTCCAGGACACTAAACAGCCAAGCTTCCTCCCAATATCAGCCCTTTCTTAGGTGAGTTAAGTATATCTCCATAAGGTCAGAGACTTCTAAGGACCCGGGCCATTCTCCCTTCTCCTAACCCTCATCTCCTCTGCTAAGAAAGCCCCGCTGTGCTGTGTGGAGGCTTGGCTTCCTGTTTTCCCATCCCAGAATCCTCCCAAGAATTAGCTGGTCTCCCTTTCTGCCCTCAGAAGGTAAGTTTTCTTATAGCCTGTAAGTCACAAATCCACAGCATGGCCAAAAATAGCAGAGCTGATGCAAGACCCTGGGAAGGGGAAAGCTGCAGGTGTTTGTGCTGGGAGGAGCGGTGACCCTGCACCTCACATGCACCGCCTCTCCCTCACCTGGGCAGCTACAAAGACAGGCTCTCCGCCACCTGCTCCGTCACACTTCACCATGAGTCCACTCCTGATCCTCGCCTTTGTGGGAGCTGCTGGTGAGTCTCATGCCATTCCTCAGGTCCCTCAGCCCCTTTCTTGGCAGACACATGCCCTACTGTTCTTGCTGCCTGTCCTGTTTCACCTGTGCTCTGATATTCTCTTTCCCTGCTTAGCACCGCTCCTTCCCTTCCTTCCTGAGCTCTCTTTCCATTCTCCCTGATTCCACTCCCTCTACTGTCATTCATCCATATCCAGAAGCTGGAAAGGGACAGCAGGTGAAGCCGGCCCATAAAATGAACCGGAGGCTTAGGGCTTGGTTCTGACAGCTCTGGGGTAGCTCCACTAGAACTGTTCTTAACCTTAATGTCTCTGGAGAGGATGAAAAACTGCTCATGTCAGATACTCACCCCTAGAAATTCTGACTTCACTTGTGTGGAGTTGGCCTGTGTATTGGGTTTTTTAAGCTTCCCAGGTGATTTGAACATTCTCAGGTATGTAGCCAATGTCAAGAATCCCTCTTCTACTGGCCAACAGCAGTGCCTGCCTTTGCCCTGCCTAAGTGGGCCTGGAGCTGCTCTCCACTCTGGCCTCATGAAGCAGATTTTGAGCTATGGAAGAATCTGGGTATAGCCAAGTCTACTCAGCCAAGAGATTTTCCTAAATGGGCCAAACCATCCTGATAATCTGGAGCTCAAGTAGTCCTAGGGAGTAGACTGGTGGCTGGTGAAGAGTGAAAGTGAGCAGCATTCAGTGGTTGAGGCCACCACATTCCCACCCATGTCCCACTGAGTGCAAACTAAAGGCATTTCTATGTCCTCACCCTGGCACCCCCAGGGGAGATGTGAGCCCAACAGGGTGTCCACCTCTGTGTCCTGCGGACATGCGGAGACTGGGACAACTATACCAGGTGGTGCCCACTGGGGATGGCAATGCTCCCTGGCCTGCAATCCCTGCACTTGTTAAGGAATCCTAATTAGCATGAACCAGCCACAGGGCGGAGGACTCTGCCCTCCAGCATCCTGCTGACTTGGCCTCTCCCTTCCTGTCTCCATTTAAGTTGCTTTGCCCTTGGATGAAGATGACAAGATCGTCGGGGGCTACACCTGTGAGGCGAATTCCGTCCCCTACCAGGTGTCCCTGTACTCTAGCTACCACTTCTGTGGAGGTTCCCTCATCGATGCCCAGTGGGTGGTGTCTGCAGCTCACTGCTATCAGTCGTAAGTGCTGGGCCCCTGGCTGCAAAGCCCACAGACTGGCTCCCTCACAGAGCTTGGGTTCAGGTTCAGCCAAGAGGAGTGTGGAGGCTGGTGAGCAGATGGGAAAGGGGCCAGAGAGAAGTCGCTGGCAGCAGCTGACTTGTGGCAGCCTAGGGTGAAGAATGACACACAACACAAAGCCTCTCGCACCCAAAACAAGTCCATCAAATAGCAAGGGCCATGGGTCCTAAAAGCAGGGAAGGATGATTTTGGGGTGGTGAGGACCAGTGGGAAAGGCAGGCAAGGACCATGTACAAGTACCTTTTGCCAGTTAGCTGCATGTTCAACCCACCTAAGATATGCTTAAAAAAAAAAAAAAAGAAGAAAAATTGCCAATGCCTGGGCAATTAACTCAATTTTCGGGAATAGGGGTATGAATATTGGTGAGTTTTTAACACTCTCAACTCGGTGAGCCTACAATATAGACAGAGCTGACAGCCTCCGCCTACCCCAAGGATCCTCACACCTGAGTGTGCCTCAAAACCACCTGGAAGGCTTGTCAAAACACAGATCGCTGGGTCCTATTTCCAAGGCTCTGATTCACTTGGTCTGGGATGGAGACAGGATTTGTATTTCTGACAAGTCCCCAGTTGATGCTGATGTGGTGAGCCCAGGGCCACACTTTGAGAACCACCAGAGTAGATCGTACAGAATGGTGGCACCTACCAGACCAGAAAGGGAGAGTCGCAGTCCCTGCATATAATTAGCAAAGGCATGGAAGATGAAGAATGCAAGGGAACTCCAAGTAGCTCGTTAGTGTCCACAGCTCTGGATTCATGAGGGGGCTGTGGAAACAAAGGCTGGAAAAATGGGTGGAGGAGCAATCCCCAGCTGGATCCCTTCACCTCATCTCCTGACCACTACCACCTGCCTCTGAGGCAGAGAGGTCCTGGGTCTCATGCCTGCATGGATCTAGCATCCCTCCACTGCCCATGTGATATTGCCACTCCCCAACCCCCTCAAGTCTCCAGAGTTGCCCAGGAACAGGGAGCTTGAGAACCTGGGAAAAGCAGGATGGGTGCCTCAGGCTGTGGAGACAAAGCCTTCTCCACATGCCTCCTTCCTGACAGCCGCATCCAAGTGAGACTGGGAGAGCACAACATCGAAGTCCTCGAAGGGACTGAGCAGTTCATCAGCTCGGCCAAGGTCATCCGCCACCCCAAATACAACAGCTGGACTCTGGACAATGACATCTTGTTGATCAAGCTCTCCTCGCCTGCGACCCTCAATGACCAGGTGGCCACCATTGCTCTGCCATCTGCCTGTGCATCTGCAGGCACCCAGTGCCTCATCTCTGGTTGGGGAAACACCCTGAGCTCCGGTGGTGAGTGGAACACTTCATCCTCCCACTTGCCTCTGTCCCCACAGTTTCCATGCCCCTGAGCTTGAATCATCTGCTTCTAGTCTACAAATTTATTTCTGGTGCCCACTACATGCAAGACTCTATATGGGGTACTAGAGAGATGCAAAGTCCCGAGGAGTTGACTCTTAGAATCAAGAGACAGTACAAATAGAGAAATTGCTATTTTCACTTCTAGGGAGGGGTTTTGCAGTGATCATTCTGGAAACTAAAAGCCATTGTTCCCTGCTGGGGCTTAATGTTCTTGGGGGTCCTCTCCAGGGTTCGGCCCTAGATGACTGTCTGCCATCCTGGCCTGACTTCTTCTTTCCCTAATCTCTTCCTGCTTCTCACAGAAAACTACCCAGACCTGCTGCAGTGCCTCAATGCTCCCCTGCTGAGTCAGGCAGATTGTGAAGCCTCCTACCCCGGGGAGATCACTTCGAACATGATCTGCGCTGGCTTCCTTGAGGGAGGCAAGGATTCCTGCCAGGTGATTTGACCCCTTCACATACTGAAACCCCTGTCCATACCCAGGCCCCAACTGGGAGTGGGATTTGAACACCCAAGGTTGTGGGGCTGGGGGAGAAAGGCTCTGTACAGAGGCCCCATGGAGAAGTGCAGAAGGCTCCTCTGGGCTGCGTGTCATCCCTGCAGTCAGAACAGAGAATGAGCCACCATGCGAAAGAGGTGGAGCCACACAGCTGACTAGAACAGGGTCCGCAGAAGGCTCCTCTGGGCTGCGTGTCATCCCTGCAGTCAGAACAGAGAATGAGCCACCATGAGAAAGAGGTGGAGCCACACAGCTGACTAGAACAGGGTCCTTTAAGGTTCAGACTAAGTGTAGCTGTATCGCCCTCATCTCTCTCTTTCTACACCTTGTCTCACCTTCTCCCCAGGGTGACTCTGGTGGCCCCGTGGTCTGCGATGGAGCACTCCAGGGAATCGTCTCCTGGGGCTATGGCTGTGCCCAGAAGAACTATCCTGGAGTCTATACCAAGGTCTGCAACTATGTGAGCTGGATTAAGGAGACCATCGCTGCCAATAGCTAAAGACCTCCAGTCCCTGCCTGGTCACTTTCTCAGTAAAGTGACTTCGCTCTTACTGCCTTCATCTGTGTCTGCTCCTTCCTGCCCATTGGTCTGGGAAACATCCTCCAATCTGGGGTCAGGCAGGGCTCTCCCCTTAGAGATGAGCAAAGCCACCCAGTTCCCAAAATATGTTCCATGGAATACTAGATTGGCAGCATATGAAGAGATGGAATCCAAAAATAAGTAGGTGGGCAAGAGGGGTTATTTTTTAGGAAAAAAAAAATGTTTCCAGTAGTGTTAAAGAGATTTCTTAGCCTTAGTACTTGCATGGGTCTTCATTGTGTTAATGTGCACACACAGCATGGTTTGCAAGACCTTACTGTCCTTTTTGACTATGGCAGGAACTTCCTTGCACCCAAAGGAAACACGTATAGGGAAATCGCAGCACCAATCACCTTGGCTTTTTCTGAGTCCCCTTAAACACATGCCCAGCTTGTACTTCCTCCGCAGTGAATGTCCTACTTAGAGAAGGCCTCACTGGCTCTGCTCCCCAGCAACCTGCTCCGGGTCTGCAGAGGAGAAGAGAGCTCCCTGGGTCTCCATCCCTCATGCTCCTGAGAAATCTGCCTTTTGTTCATGGCACGTATTACCAATATATATTTGCTGTACTGAGTGCTTTATAGATGTTTGCACACTTATTTCTCTCTCCCCTCTGAAATGGTTATTATCCCAGTGTTACAAATAAGAAAACAGGTTCAGAGAAGGTGATTCATCTCCTCGTGCTCCACACTAGCAGAGGGTGGATCTGGAGTTTCACTCCTCATTTGCCTGGATCCAAAGCCCATGCTCCCTCGACCCTGTCTCATGTGCTTCCTCACCACAACTATGGTCTGAGGTGATGACGAGTCCATCATCTCTGGTTTCCAACGTCTGTCCAGCCACTGTCACTGGCACCCTCCCCTGCCTCCCTGCACCTGCTGAGGGGCTCCTCCCAATGGCTCCTTCCATGCAGCATGACAGCTCTCACTGAGCTTCTGATCGTCCTGCTGCTTCCTGACCTCCCACAGCTTTCAGGATGGAACCCAAGCTTCTTGTCATGGAAACTTGGGCTCCTGCTTGCTCTGCCCTGCCTATGCTCCAGCCTCGTGCCTCTCCACTCCTCTCCTCCCCTGCTATGTCCCATTGCTCAGAAGTCCTGGTGTCCATCCAACAAGCCATGCACCTCTGGCCTTGTCTTTGGACGATGTGGCTCCATTTGACTGGATATTCTTCCCAACCTCCCCTCCACCTCTTCAGAAAAGTCTATACGACTCTTCCTCCTCCTTCCCTGCCTGTACTGGTCCCACTGGCCTTCTCTCTGAGTCACGAGTCCTCCTTCTGTCTGTTCCATGATTGCTTCTATCACAGTCCTGCTCATGCTCTTTAGTAACGATCGATGGATGTGTCTATCTTGAAATTTAACTGTAAGCTTCTTTTTTTTTTTTTTTTGTCTTTTTCCGTGTCCGGCAACGGATCGCAACCCTCAGTGTCGCCCCCGCACCGGACCGGGACCGGCAACGGGATCGCAACCCTCGGTGTTGCTCCCGTGCCTCGCTCAGCCAGTGAGCGGGAACCGGTCTGTATGGGGGATCCGAACCCTTGGGCGGGAGCGCCACCGCACTTCCCAAGCGGCGCACTATCCAGTGCGCCACCGGGCCGGCCCTAACTGTAAGCTTCTTAAAGGAAGAAATCTTGCCTACTCATGCTGGTACTTCTAGTGATTAAACAAAACCTGGAATATATGGGCCGGCCCGTGGCTCACTCGGGAGAGTGCAGTGCTGATAACACCAAGGCCC